TTATACACTAATGAAAACCATTTATGCCAACCAATTCTCTTAAATGTAAACACTGTACCTTTTAGGACATTTTAAGTAATTCGGATTTTCTGAGCCACCCTTTAACCCTGTCCCTCTCTGACTTTGAATTTTTCTCAGCAGCTAGCCCTGCCCGACCATCACCAGGAACACCCACCACTCCCTCTGGCCAATCAGCAGCCTCCAAAGCGACCCCTTCGAGCCCTGCCCTGGCCAGCATCCTGTCACGTGTTGACATCACACCTGAAGGCATCCTTAATGCTTTGTCTAAAACAAACACACCAGGTAAGATACATAGAGCACCCTGTACTTGTATTTTTAATGACACCATCACTTTATTTTATATTACTGATCATTTTCTGTCTTGGTGCAGGTTTGTCCTCTCTCCTGCAAAGTGTGACAAACACCTCCTCTGCTCCTCCCACCCGAACCTCCCCAGAATCATCAGCAGTTAAAACCCCGCTCACCCCAACCACCCCAAAAACAAAACCCACTCTGGGCAACAGCCTCAAACGAGACACACCTGGGAGAACCAGAGACTGGGAGAAAGAGAGACAGCTGTCCCCTCCTCCTCCACCCCCGCCTCGCCCCTCAGCTCCTTCTGTCTCTCCCCCCAGCCTAGAATCGAAAATCAACAGCTTCTTGCAGGGTAATCCAGGTTTTAGTCTTGCTCTAGGTGATGTTAGTCCTGATGGGGTGGATGGGACCCCAGTGAGAGATGAGGCTGCTGGCACCCCCACCCAAGATGAGATCATGGACACACCTGGTAGTGTGCCAGAGTCTCTAGGGTCCTCTGGAGGTCATAACCTCTCACCCACTGCCTACCGCAGCGAACCCTGGGATGCTGTGATCACCCCGTCAGGAAGCAACAGCAACGGAGACTTCATGGGCTCTTCCTCCTCCTCTTCCCGGTATGGAGCAGGGAAAAAGAGCGGCACAAAAGTAAAGGACGATGAAGTGAGGAATGTGAGGAAGCAAGTCTCCTCCTCCCCCAGTCACGACAGGAAGGGTAAAAAAGATGGACAACACAGCCAATTGAGGATGATGGGAAACAACAGAGGGAACGGAGAAAGGAGACTCTCTGGAAGTTCTCGTAAGGCGAGCAGTGGCTCAGATGATGGAAGTCTGAGTGCGAAAAGAGAGGACAAGGGGAAAGGGTCTCCAGCAAGTGGGAAGGAGGGCCAGTACCATCGTATTGAGACACTAGTGTCGCCCTGCACTGAAGGGGCACCCATTCAAACTCTAGGCTACTCTAACCGCCCACTCGCTGGAGAGCGCATCAAGACAGTAGAGAGCATCCGCGTGATTGGCCGAGGCTCTCGGCGGGGGGGAGGGTCAAGCGGTCGGCCAGGGGGAGCAATGTGGTACGAAGAGGAGGAATACATGGAAGCTCAGCCTCCCTCACCCCATGGTGTCCCCCCTCCTCTTAACATTGGTCAGGGGGGCAGTGAGGACTTAGCCCCCTCCATGCCTCCTCCCCCACATCTCCTCCTCCCACATCTCCACCCTCCTCCGTCCCATCCGCACTCACATCCTCCTCCCCAATCTCCATTCCAAATGCCGTATCACGGGGAGAACATGCAGACTCCTCCCCCGTCACTCCTCCACCAACATCCTCCTACACCCCCTTTCTTCGGCGCTCCTCCACCAATCCCTCGACCCCCTCCGCCCCCCGTACCGCAGCGCCCTTCCCCTACACCTACCCACTCCTCTGTGCCCTCTGCAGTCATGGTGGGGGGAGTGCTGGTCCCTGTTGACCGCCCCCTTTCTCTTCCTCCCCCAATCAGACCCGAAGGTGTGGATCGAGGCGGGCTGGGGCCCAGAGGAAGCAAAGTAGGCCCTCCACCTCTCATGTCATCGTTGCTAGGGGAACCCCCTAAGCTGCACCGTCCTGGCACAGTTAAAGAGCCTTTTGTCCCCCGTCATGCACCCCCTCTCCACCGCCAAGGTGCCCCTGGTGTTCCTCTACCCTTACTGGGCAGAGTGAAGGAGCCTCTGAATCTACCTCTTCCATCCCCCTCTCCCTCTCCCACATCCTCCACAACCTCTCCCTCCACTCCTAACTCCCCGGCAGTCGACACGGTCTCCACCCGCCTCCCAAATCAGTCCGCTGCCCCTCCTCTCCACAAGCCCCCCACTAGTCCTCCAGCTCAGTCCCGCAATCAAACCTCCAACCCTGTTCCCCTCCTCACCTTACCCAACTCTCGACCCCCGATCCTTTCTCTCCCCATCCCACAGAGACCTCTGCTACGAGGCCGAACCCCCTCTCAGCAGATTAACCAAGATCGCCCCATTGGGGGGTTCCGTGGGGGCAAGCGGCCTGGTCCTCCATTCACAGGTGGTCCCTTCCATGCTCAGAAGAGACCCTTCCTACCCCCACGCTACTGAAGTGGTCATCTATGACATGCTGAACGAGAAGTGCAAGCGCCCTGCGCTGAAGTGCAGAGTGTGTGTTAGCCCTGCTGGTATGAGCCCAGATATCTTTACTCTGTTAATTAGCTTGAATTAAAACTACCTTAGGTTGTGTGTAAATAGCTGATAAATCTTCATGCTTTAGCTCGGTAGCCAGCCAGTCATCTTACACTGTACAGTACAGTTACATAGTGCAGAGTGTTGTGTAACCCTCTATCACTTTTCTCCCCATCTCTCCATACACAGTAGATAAAGTCTGGTACAAGAGTGACATAACCGTAGGAAGAAAACGCAGATAGCTCAAGCAAGAATTTAAACTATACTTTTATTTAGAGTTTGCCTAACTGTGTGACTGTTGGGTTACTTAACCTGAGAGAGAGCAGGAGAGTGAAAGAAACGTGTATGTATGGGTCTCATGCCGTACAGAGGAAAGAAAGTAAAAGCAATAGTTAAGACATTTGGGGAAATAAGCTTATTGGCTTTCTTACTCAGAGTTAAATGAGAAGATCAATACCTTTGTCTGCTGAATATGAAACTGCCGGCAGCCGCTTAGCATGAAGACTGGAAACGAGGGAACAGTTACCCCTGATCTGTCCGAAGGTTTAAAACAAAATTCCACGACTAAATCCTCTAAATCTCACTAATTAAGACACTGCATTTTGTTTGCTTTTAATCCATACAAAAACTGAAGCATAGAATTGACAAGCTGTGGCGATAACATGCCCAGACAGTTTTGTCCCTAGGCGCAGTGACTTCATTCAATTTGCCCGGCAACCTCACAGCAACAGCAATACTCTAGGAAGTCACTGCACCACGACAGGCAGGTGGAGTTTGTTACCTTTAGACAACACAAGTCTGTCCGCCCGTTTCCAGTCTTTATGCTAATCTCTCTGGGACGGTCTCCAGCTTCATATTAAAAGACAGACAGCCAAATTGGCTTACTTTTTAAAAATTTTTGGGTTTGTGGAAAGTAGGCTTCAAAGTAATCTCTTCTTCCATGGAGTGTATTGGTGTGTGCTTGTGTGCGCGGCGCTGCTAAAATGTGTTGAGGTTTCATTGACCAGTGATGAGAGTTTGTGTTGCAGGCGAGGTTTAAAACCTTGTTCCTATTTTCCGGGAGTACCTGCTGTAGAATAATATTTTCTCTGCTCTTTTTTTCACATCTTTCTCCCACTTATATCTCTAAGTCTTGGTCAAATATGAGAAAAAAAACGTGAGATGGATACAGCTTTTTTCTCTCCAAGCTCTTTGTTTCGTTTAATGAGGGAAATGATCGTCACTCACTGCAACCCCCCCCGGTTCTTACTGTGATTGAGGCCTTGGATAAAGCTTTAGGCTCCAGGGAGAAATGTTCTCCGCAGTGGTTCTTGTCGCCACCTTTCTGCTCCTCCTTTTGAAAAACCTACCACGCACGGAAGAGGGAGGGTGAAAGTAATTCTGGTGTTTTATTTCCAAAATAAATGTCTGCGCGCTTCAAGTTAGACTGAGTGCATGAAAGAGGATACTCAGTAAGTGGATGGTTGGGCGGGGGGAGGTATTTTCAGGCTTGAACCACACTTCTGTTCTAGGCTTCAACATGACTGACTTGGAATAAAATCAGAGTTTTCAATTCAACAGGGCGGGGAGTATTTTATGTTTTGGCACTTGGTCACCCTCCGCTCCCGCACTCCCTCTTTGTAATTTTATTGCGCTGCTTCAGTGATTTTTTTTTTTTTCTGCTTGTTTTTTCAGGACAAAATTGTTTTCAATATTTACACAGCCTGCTGCCAGTTTTATATATTACTATTAACATTTTTAACGCCCTTTATTATTTTTTTTTGTTTTTTCTACTAGGAGGAAGATTGGCAATTTTCATTTCGCAGTCAGCACCCAGCCAGGATGTATCGGGGGGGGGGGGACAAACATTTGAGCTAATTAGGACTGTTTTGAAAATGGTTTATTTACATACTCCAGTTGTTTTGGCCCCGTCTTTTGTTTTGTTTCTTTGCTAATTTCATGCTTTTGCCCTCAAGCCCCTGTGCTTACCTTGTGCTCACGTGGCTTTGTCCAGAAACACTTCCTGCACCTCTCAACACTTCTGATGGTTTAAAAAAAACAAACAAAAAAAAGGGGTCCGCATTTCCCCCCCCTTGTGGAATTATTGACGCAATGCTTCCCCCGCCCGTGTTCTACACTGATGTAGTTTACCCCACGCAGTGAGAGGTGCATGCTGGGTGTTGCTGCTCAAAGCCTCCATGTGTGTGTGTGTGTGTGTGTGTGTCTGTGTCTGTGTGTGTCTGTGTTGTCTCCTGTGCTCCTGTGTTGGGTTTAAAGTACAGTTCATCAAGATACACTGAGCACCTGCAAACGTTCCCGCATAAAGTTGGTGAATAGATGCATTGTAAAAATGTAATAATAACAACAAAGAGCATATTTATCTCTACAGTGTTAGCACATCAGAGTTCTGATGTTTTACTGAATGTTACTCAAGTCTGTTTGCCACCGTCTGTAAACTGTATGTCTTTTATCTGATAGTTTATTTTGCAAAAACAGCTAAGTATCAACCCAAATCAGTGTGGTGTGTTCACATTGCAGAACGGTAGATATGTTGTTACAAACATCTGCTTACTTCACCAGTTTTAATTGTCCCTGTAAATAGCCTCTCTCCGTTTTTTCTCTTCACCTCTACTTTGATAGATTGAGTTTTGAAATTGCTGATGGTGTCTGTACATTTGATAAGTTTTAATTGCTCTTACTGCTGTTCTCATCAATGATGCTATATCACTGGTCTTTGAGTGTCCAATCCTTTCTGGTGTGATGAACATGCACACAGTTAATATATGCATATTATATGGGGTCAATACGTCTTCATATTCTTTTTTTATCTTTTTTTTTTGTTCTCACATACCATATTGCAGAATCATAAGGACAAATGCACTTTTTAGTGCTCTCATGGAGTGACTTGCATCCATTTTCCTGACACATTTAGTATAAACGTTGTTTATGGTTGCACTGTTGACTGTAAGCAGTCGGTGCTCTGTCTTTAATTGAACATTGGAGGTGATTTGCTGTTTCCTATCACTTTTTTTCCTCTTGCAAAGACCTCAACTCAAACTTTTCTCATTTATTTTTTTATTTTTTGTTTTTTGGGATTGTTGCTAAACATTTGCACACTACAATGCACTTGCTGATGTTGCCACGTTCTAGAAATGCAACTTTCTAACACTGTCAGCTTCACACATAGGTGATGACCACTAAATGGGCCACATTCAACAGATGAACTTAATACATTGTCACATAGACTGTTTGATGACCCAGTTCCAGTGGACGAGCCCTAAACTCAGTCACAACACGAACAGAGTGACACTAATCAATGGCTGTACAGTTGTTTTACATAGTTTTATTATTATTCAGTTAGTTAATATGATGTGAGGATGAATTAACTTAATGCAGCAATGTTTCATTATGCACTCTGTGCCGTTATTCTACAATTAACAGTGAACATTGTCATATGTTATTAATGCAGCTGTTAGGTCCTTAATGTTAAATACGGATATTGCACCAAACTACCGGCTCTCTTTGTTATAAAGTTATCTGACAAACAGCAACAAGAACTCTTGCTTGTAAACATTTAGCTTGTTTATACAAAAAGTTCATACGTGTGTTTTCTCATTACATTTTTACCATGGCCACAGTGAAGTCCACAAAGGGTTAATCAATAATTGGGTCCAATTGGTCAGTGAGAGTTGAAGCTAAAGGTAATGCGGTCTGAGTGCACAGTGTTTTTACAATTAGATGCTTAAATGTATTTTAATATAAATAATAGACTTCATTTCTCCACATTGTAGATGGACCATATTCTTTCATAAAGTGCTGTAGCTCCCCCAAGTGGCAGTTCAGTGGTACTTCAATTCTTAACTCACACATCCCAGTTTCCATTATGTGCTACTGTAATTACAGTACTAGTGTTGGCCGATTCTACTGAAAATGGTGAAAACCAAAATATATTAACATCCCTGGTCATATGCATTAAGTTACCACAGCAGGAAGTTATTACTTGTACAATATTCAGTGATCACTGCATTCGGGTGTAAAGTTTAAGCTCTTGTAATAGTTTCCACGGGGGTTAGGCTTCAGATTGTGTCCAGTATTTGAACAGCAGCTGCAGTGAAAGTCGTTTTCTTAGGGTTAAAATATTTACTTACTGATCCAAAAGACCCCAATGCCTCGGGCACTAAACCAGTGGACTTTAAATGCGGATCTAGATGCAGCGGATGGTTCCTAAAGCAAAGTGCGCAGCTCCATAATGGAGCACACCGGCTCTGCTGCTCTGCCTTGTTTCCTGGCGTAATGCTGCAGCTCGGTGTCGCTCTGTGTGAAGACCAGAGGATCACTGAACTGCAGCTGCTCTCTGTGATTAATGGATGAGCTTGTGTTGTGCTTCACGTGCTGCCAGCTACTCAAAGTATGAGCTGTTTTAATGTCATATTTTTAATCCAGTCTGAAAGAAGTGACCCGCGTGTGCATGGCTTTGAGTTTTAACATCCGGATATTGTTTATTTACCCCCTCTCTCTCCCTCTCTAACAACTGTAGATGCTGCGTATGTACAGCTCCTGTGTGGACGCGCGCTCCTGTGTGGACGCTCGGGAGCGTGCACGCGGCTTCCTAGCGACGTCATGACGTCCCCGCCGCTGTCCTATTCTTTGCTTCCGGTGTTATGGCCGCTCGCAGAGAGGGGTGACAGTAATGGGGGGCATTAGAGAGATGGACGCGTGTGTTTAGGCAGGTGTGTGTTTGGGATGGCGGTGACGCTGCTTATTTGTCGGGCGGCGGCTCGTGCGACAGTTCTCGCGCACAGGAGGTACAGCCAGGTGCGCGAGCTTGTTATGACTGCAGTACAGTAACCAGAGCTAACCATTAGCCACCAGGACATTATGGGATCTGCTGAATACTGCAGCTGCTGTGTGTCAGATGTGGGGATGTTTTGTGCTTCGACAATCAAACTATTTGTTTATTCACAACTTATTTCTCTGCAGAGTTGATGTCTAATATTTTCAGTTATATAAGACAAGATTTGGCACTTTTATTTTTTATTGGACAGCACAGTTTATATGAGTGACATGGACCCAACCGTGCCATCTGCTTCTTTCTCCCTGCTCTCTCTCTCTTTCATTTTGGTGATGTGGTTCACTAAAAGAGTACAGTCACAATATTCTTGACTGAATATCTTAAAATGGATAACTTGGAGGGGTTTTGATAGTCAGTATTTCATATGTAACTTAATGTAGGTGATACATATAGTAATAGGATGATCATCAAGTTCATCTGCATTTCATTATTCATTAATTCTTTTATTTTTAACTAATTTAACTTAAGATTGAGGCATCAGTTTACTTTAATGCAACCATTAGGCCGGTCATTGTTTCATCACAATATTGATATCGGTGTATCAGTAAACACTCAGTTACCAGTTTATTAGGTACACTTAAATCAAACTAATGCTGTATAATACAACAGTAACCCCTGCCTTCACAAAGGTCATAATCAGTTATTGTTGAAACTCTGAACTTCATGGTCATCTTGGAGGATGTGTAGCTGTTGAATTCAGTTCAATTTTAATTAGATTTTATTGGTATAGAGCCAATTCACAACAGAAGTTATCTCAGGACACTTTTCAAATGGAGCATGTCTAGACCGTACTCCATATAAAATTATTTAGAATTGTATTGCACCTTCTGTCATCCTTCACATCATTTCCATTTTAACCTTTATCTACATCTTTCCTGTCCGGATGCAGGTGTGCCCATCGTTATCCGAGCGACTGCAGGTCTTTGAGTCCCTCAAGGAAAAACGAGGCACTAGGATCAGAGCTGAAGCCACAGAAACGCCCCTCAGTGTCCGACTGTCTGACGGCCGCACAGTGAAGGGAACAGCTGGTGTCACCACACCTCTCTTGGTCGCCCAGAGTGTCAGGTAAACACCTAATGCGTACAGTAAGGTGTTCTCATGTTTGTTTGTTTGTTTGTTTGTTTGTACTTAAGTGGTTTACCGGTCATTGCATCTGTCCTTGCAGAGTGAAAGGAGCTCTGGTCAGTACGGTGAATGGGGAGCTGTGGGAGCTTGGACGGCCTCTAGAGGCAGACTGTGAACTACAACTTCTGGGGTTTGACACAGCTGAGGGTAGACAGGTAATTACAACTTCTTCTTCTCCTATTACAATGTTTTTGTGTTTTTTAAGTTAATCTGAAACATACACTTATCGCTTTCTAATTCACATCCTTTAAGATGGATCATAGTATTCTAAAAGATTATGTCTTTTTCTTTCTTTCTTCCTTGACTTCAGTGGAAAACTTCATGAGGTCAAGGAAGGAAGTATTTGTACAATGAAACATGAGTCAGTAAAAAACAAAACTTGCCACCAAATTACAAATAAGTAACCAGTAATTCAAAGGATGGTTCTGTGTTTCTATCGGAGGAACTGAAGAACATTTCCTTTGTATTTAGAGCATTTTACCAGCTGTTATATAGATGTTTTCAGGTCATTTAGGACCTTCCTCATCCAAAAGGACTTTTCAAAACACGCTTTACATCTCTACATACACCCAACCGACTCTGTCTTCCTTAGGCAGCATGGAGGACAGGAGCGTGTGTCCTGGGCGGAGTGTTGGAGAAGGTATTTGGTGCCGAGGTGTGCAGAGAAGGAGCGTCAGAGTTCGGGCTTTACGTTGACCATCTGCTGGACAATAGGTGAGATATTCCTCTGACTGTCTCTCACACAGGACTGGAAATGTGTCCAGGTGTGTCTGGCATTGACCCACAACAATGTAGTCTGTGGAAGCTGTCCAAATATAATCTGGCCTTTCACTTGTACTTAAAGAATTACTGACCTACATAAAAAAAAAACTTTTTTCAGGATAATATTTGGCATTGGTTGCTTGGCTCTCCTTCCTTAAAGTGTGTCCGTCCTGACCTTGTTTTGTTTTTCCTTAGATGACTTCTTTGCCTTTATACAACCCAGTTAACATTTATTTTATACTTCTTTGCTCTTTCACATTTTATCTATACATTGTTCTGTGCTGCTGCTGCAGTGACCCCTTTTCCCTTACAAGGTTATTAAAAGTTAATCTCATACAATCTCCATAGAGCCCCTGACCTGCTTTCCTTCTCCATAATCATCTTGAAGCTTGTGGTTCTTTTGTCACACACTGGGTCTTGCAGCCACAGATTCTTCTGCTTTTAATTTACCCAAATCTTCCCTTCTCTCTCTCTCACTCTCTCT